GGGCGTGCAGGAGGCAGCCGATCAATTATTCTCTCATCATCATCATCAATATTTCTATCTCTCTCTCCCTCTCCTTTCCTCTCTGAAATCAATAAAAATATATTTAGAAAGAAAGAAAGTCTTGTGTTTATGACTATCTCTAAAGGTGACTAGAATGAGGATGATTTAGTTTTCTGGTTTCACGTTTCCAAATGCAACTTTGTGAGGCACCCTGATAGGTATCTGCTGTGGTTACTAAAGGCAAATTACATAATTCATTAGTCAGGTCTGTAGATTATTGGGAGCAGGGTGTAGGGTGCAGGAAAGGATAAAGGGACAGACTTATATCTTATTTTTTTTTAAATCAATACTTCAGCCCAGCTGGTGTGGCTCAGTGGTTGAGCATCACCCATGAACCAAGAGGTCACCAGTTCAATTCCCAGTCAGGGCATATGCCTGGATTGTGGGCTCGATCTCCAGTAGGGGGCATGCAGGGGGCAGCTGATCAATGATGCTTCTCTCTCATCAATGTTTCTCTCTATCCCTCCCCATTACTTCCTCTAAAAACCAATTTTTAAAAATATTTTTTTTAGGTCTAGGCCTCAAATGGTGGTTCTCAACCATGAATAAAAAAGCCACACACCCTGCTGGCTCAACTGCTTCTGCCATTCTCCTCCATAAATCCTTTAAGATCCCAAGAGACCAGAAGCTAGGGAGGCCAGGACACAATGAGATTTTAGGCGTATAAACAGCCTGACAACCCCCATCAATTGACAAGTTTAGCCTTGAAGAGAGGCACAAGAATACATTCCTCTCAGACAAGTACTAATATGGAATGAAAAGTTTAGGCAATGCCCCCCCCGCCAAAAAAAATATAAATAAAATAAAATAAAATAAAATAAAATAAAATAAAATAAAATAAAAAAGAAAAAGAAAAGTTTAGGCAAGTTCAGAGGTAGAGAAAAGGAAATGACAAATTTCATACCCCCAACTTCACACTTTTCAGAGAAATAGGAGGCTGGTCCTCTGCTCCAAGTAAAGGGGAAAGAAATGATCCTGAGACATGAGAACAGAAAAGATCTGAAACAGTCACTCGGAAGAACAGACACAGCAACAGTAAGGGCTGAGTGAAGATGCTACAGAATCAAGAGTGCACTGAGGTTAAAAAGCACAAATCTCTTACCAAAACCGTGGTAAGCTTTACATTCTCTTCACAACTGTCTGGAGACCACAGGTAAAGTTAATTACCATACGGGATAAGTGCCAGCAGAGAGTAAGCAAAGGATGCCAGGATGTCAGAGAAGACACACTGAGCTCCGGTGGATATTGAAGAATAAAAATTAGCCAGGCTGTCAAAGCCGGTTTGGCTCCGTGGATAGAGCGTCTGCCTGCGGACTGAAGGGTCCCAGGTTCGATTCCAGCCATGGGCATGTACATTGGTTGCGGGCACATCCCCAGAAGGGGGTATGCAAGGGGCAGCTGATCGATGTTTCTTTCTCATCAATGTTTCTGGCTCTCTATCCCTCTCCCTTCCTGTCTGTAAAAAAATTAATAAAAATGTATTTTTTAAAATTAGCTAGGCTTAAAAGAAGGGTGAGTCCCATGACGTACATAACACACTTCCCGCCTTGGAGAATGTAACACTGCGACTTGATTCCGGTATCTTCAGGAGTACGACTGTACTGTTCTTAAGGCTACCTGAACATTCAATCACAACTTCTTATACAGAGGCTTTCTTAAGTCTGTAGTTACATTTTGCACCAGGACAAATAAATTAAAAAATCATCGTACAGGTACATCATAATCAAGTGGGATTCAGATTAAAGTCGTGAAACCACACACATTCATTATGCAGAATTATACTTAATGGGCGCCCTGAGAATTCTAAACAACGACGTTGTGTTCCGAGTTCCTCTGCCGGCACAGGAGCCCCCCAGCCCGCCTGGGAGTCCCGCGGCCGCCGGACAGCTCCCAGCCCAGCTGCAGAGGCCGGTCCGCTCCCGCCGGGGGACGCGACACCCCAGACCCGGACCCGCCGAGAACACGGTCAGGAACTCAAAACAGAAGCCTCCCGCGAGCAGGAATGGCCTCGGAGGTGAGGCATTCCAGACACCATGTACCCGAAAGCGTCCCCGCGGGGCTGAAACCAGCACTGGCGGCTTCCCTCCTTTTCTCACCATGTAAACCTGAGAAAGTCACCCAGGCTCCCGGCACGGCCCCGCGTTCCCGGCCCCGCTCCTCCCGGCGCTCCGGGAAGGTCTGCGCCGCGCACACCGCCGGGCGGGGGAGGGCCGACCCCCATGCCCGCCCCCGGACCCTGCCTCAGCCTCCCGGCTCCGCCACAGCCCCTGGAGCCCCGACGCCGCCCTCGGAAGCGCCTTTCTCGCCTCACCACAGCCCCACTCGCCTCCTTGTCCTGCTCTCCCTCCGGTTCCCAGCACAGACCACGGAGCCAGTTACTGGAGCACCACTACCCCGCGGCCCCGCTGCCGTGTTTACATTCCGCTTGCCCTTTGCCCACCGGAAGCGGAAGTCACCGTGGCCGACCTCCGACCTGCCTACTTTGAATACCGACCCGCGGCTTCGGAAGCGGCCTGAGAAACCGGCAGGGGAGAGACGCTTCTCAAAGCTTTTCTCCTCCGCCAATCCTTCCCTGGGGCGGGGGGGGTTACAACAGATCCCAGAAGTCATTGCGGCCCCTTTGCCCTCTGGGACTTGTAGTCCAGCCGCCCGAGCTGCAGCAGGCGGAAGTATGGAGTGCGCAGGCGCCGGCGGGAGGGGGCGTGGGAAGCTGCGGCTGCGCGGCGCAGCGGGGAGCAGGGAAGCCGGGAGGCGCGGGCAGAGCGATGTGGGCAGTTTTATGGCCTAAAAGATGCGCCCTGCGTCAGGAGAGGGGACACTCCCGCCGTGGAGGCCGGCCGCACGCAGAGGCCAGAGGCGGACTCACTAAAGAAGGGCTCGGGGAAGCCGATCGGGGAGCGTCGCTCCTGGGAAGACAGGAGCTTGGCCAAGGAGGGAAAATGACGGTCTCGGCAAAGCTGTGGTTCCTGTCTTGGGGACAAGTGCGGGAAAGTCACACGGGGAAGCGTCTGGGCCCCGGGAAGATGGAGATGGTTGTCACTGGGGCTGTCCTGTGCGGAGGAAGGCCATCGCTGGGGACCAGGCCTCCTCGCCCAGCGCGGTCACTGGTGGGAGAGGGACTCACCGGGCCCCGGGCCCGCCCACCAGATGCCCTGGGCGCCCACCAGCGGCTGTGACCACCGAACCGCCTCCAGAGCCCAAACATCCCCGAAGGAAGGTCGCTTGGCCACCATGGCCCCAGTGCTGCTGCAGGCTGGGCCTCCCTCCGGTGGCCGGAGAGGAAGAAGCTGGGAAGTGGAATAGGAAAACGGGCCAGAAAATTAAACAAGGCCGAAGCATTTGGACAACTTAAACTTTAAGTCTTAAAGTCAGCCAGCTTGTGAATCACGCAAGACCTTATCTTCCCAGCCATGGACACCTGGAAGCAGGTGTTGACACCGCCCCGCCCTGCCCAGAGAGCTTTAAGTCACCCTGGCATGGGATACAGAGAACAAAGACCCGATTAATGCCTTCTGTGCCAGCTACCCCGAGGGCAAATGAAGTCAGGGAGCAAATAACAAAAACCCCGTTAAAGCCAGACAGACCTAAGATAAAACAGACCAAAGAATAACGCCATTATACCCTCATTTTGATGCATCATCATATTGAAAAGGCACCAGGGAACGTGATGAATATTGTACTGAAACCCTAAGGTTTTCACCTGCAGGAAAAAAAGGGGTGGGGGTGGGAATAGAAGCCCTCAGGACAAAGACTCAGTGTGGGCTCACTCGCTTAGAAGCATCCAGGCCCCTTCCAGAGCATGAACTTTTCATTTCTTCTAAACCCTCGGGGTCTCCACGAGACTTGCAACCTGGGAGCAGTGGCCAGTGGAAGCTCATTCCAAGCACACTCCCTGGTGCTGTCTCCAAGGCCCCTAGACTTCCTAGAGAGCTAACAGCAGCCCCTCCTGGCTAGCGTCTCTCCTATAACCTTTCAGAGCTCTGCCTCGCCTCTCCTGTTGCTGCTTCTACCGATTCCTTCCTTGCCTCACTGTCCCCAGCTTTAATGCATGTTCTCTCAAACCCACCTGGACTTAGGCCGTGAAATCTTTCCTCTAGAGTTGAGACAAAAGTTAATGTTTGTTCAAGCACGGTAATTATATTTTTTAAAATATATTTTATTGATTTTTTACAGAGAGAGGAAGAGGGATAGAGTCAGAAGCATCAATGAGAGAGAAACATTGATCAGCTGCCTCCTGCACACTCGCCACAGGTATGTGCCCGAAACCAAGGTACATGCCCCTGACCAGAATCGAACCTGAGACCCTTCCATCCACAGGCTGAAGATCTATCCACTGAGCCAAACCAGTTAGGGCTAATTATATTTAGATACATTGTTTTTAAAAGGAAGGTGCAGATGGTCAGCTATAAAAAAAAAAAAAATTAAAAGTGGGTTCCTTCCCATTTCGTTTTCCCAGAGGCTACAAAAAAGTGAAGCACATTGTACAAGATGAAAAACGGTGGGTTTTTATTCATTTCTAAATCAAAGCATTTTAAATTTGATACTTATACTCCATTAAAACAAACATGAACATGTCTCAGAATAATGCACCATGAGATTGATTTCTACCGTACTACCATTATGTTGTGTGTGGGATTTCATTCATCTGACCAGAACTCACAGTGCAAGAGATTTCTACCGTGGATGTGGGCAACAGGAGTTTAAGGGGGAAAGTTTTAAAGAACACACACTTTCTTTCATCCCCAAGGTGCCAGTCAGAGCAGAGATGCGTAGAACTCTTTCTATGCATAGCCACAGTCCAGCAAGCAGCTATTCAATGTGAATGGTATTACTACAAGGTCAAAAAGGGCGGGGCAGGGGTATGAGAGGGCAGGACTTCTTGTATAAAATCATTTAAAACTCTGAAAACAACTATAAAAGCATCTCAAGAGAATATATAATCAAAGTAAAAGCAATGAATTTTATTTCAGTGAAATTATTTTAAATTAGATATGATATATTAAGCTCCCATATCCCCCAACGTGGTAGAAAAGTTCCTCTCGGTGAGAAATCATTTATTTTAATGGCAAAATTTTTACATATCAGTAAAATCTGTTATATTTAAAACTATGTATATAGTACATTTCTGGCAAAAAACCTTATACATCTTTCAGTTGTCAAAACAAAGTAAAAATATGGTTGCATAAAATCACAAAAAATATAAATTGCTGAAAAGATAAAAAAAGATTAAAAATAATTTGCATTGACTCCTTTACATCTTCAATTAGTAAGAATTTGCAAACGACAATAAACTCGTGAAAATTCTGATGCAACCTTTACATACGCAATGAAAAGCTGTCATTTCAAATATCCCAGCTTAAAAAAGAACTTACTGCAACAGTCTATGCATTTATCATACTATTTGTACAAGTGCAATATTTAAATATCTTCCAAACAAAACTCAGTAACTAAAAGGAATCACAATAACTTAAAAAGAAGCAAAGTGTACAAAAGTAACAATTTCTAGAAGATCCTATTTAATTGGTTCCTCCTTTTGTCTCCCCGCCCCCCCAAGTCCCATACAGCTTACAGAGACATTACGGCAATGCCTTAGTTCTATGTACAACTGTGTAACTTTAAAAATACAGTCTCTGTTCCTAACATCAGGAACAATGCTGCATTTAGAGAGCCTACAGAAGTCAGTATCTTCTAAACAGAGGGCCACATACAATTTAAAATACAGTTTTGAACTTATACCTAAAAGGAACTCCTACCATATTATACAGCTTTCAGACTCTAAATGGAATAGAACAAGCCCTGGACAGAAAGAAGCCAAGATTTTTCTTTTGGATTCAGTGCATGTTTCTAGGGATGCTGGAGGCAAATAATCAACAACTACAGTTCTGTGCAAGCCATCGTGACATCTGAGTATGTTGCTATCCAATTACACAGGGGCTCACTGTATTTGCAAAGAAAAAACCACACAGGCAAAACAAACATACCCTATAATAACAGTCTTAAACGAGAAAGAAAGAAAAAAAAAAAAGCTTTTACAATGGAAAAATGATTAATAGGAAAAAATGTCCATTTCTTGAAGCTAAAATTGTATAAGGCGAATATGGATAATACTTTTATTTTTTTTATTAGCATACACATGATAGCAATTTTATCTGAGGTGACTTTAAATCTTCATTTATACCTGTTATGTAACACTATTGCTAAGAGCAAGAAAAAGATTATAAATCAGAAATCTTAGGGAGATTAAGCATCCTTAGGCAGTTCCCATATTACCTTTTTAAAAGTAACTTAAAATTCAAAACAAATGTGACCATTTAAAACTATCCAATTATTTCCATATTTTACTGAAAGTGTTATACCTAACTAAGAGGACATTACCAAATGCAATGTGTAAACTTTAGTTGGATCTGGTTTGAAATAACAAGCTATAAAAGAAATGTGGAGAACAACTGGGAAAATCTAAAAATGCATGATTAAATGACATTAGGGAATTATTTTTATAACAGGATTATGGTTTTTAGGGACAATATTATTTTTTTAAGTAATTTTTAGAACATGCTTGACGTGTTGAGGGATAACGAGTAGGTCTGCAACATCCAAATGTTTCAGGGAAGAGCATATCATATATATAAAAATATATGTATAACTATATCCATATACACAATTAAGTATAAAGCAAATATGGCAACAGGTTAACAAGTGTTGAATCCAAGTGGTAGACACACATATACAAATGTTTATAATGAAATCTGGAAGCAAAAGTCACATCTGAACCTTTAAATAGTTTGTAAGAGGTGTTCTCTCTGTGCAATGAATCGATTTAAAAGATGTATGATCGAATAACAAGAAGTGTTTGCATACATTCAATACTGACAGGAGGAACAAAGTAATTGGTAAGATTGGCAAAAACAACATGATGTATTCACAGTATATGCAACTCAGCTCTTGTGACAAAAAGCAATGTATGTACAGATTATAGGGACAAATTGTTAAGATTAAACGCAATGCCTAGAAATCTAAATATTGGTTCTGTGTGTGTTTTTGGACTAAACCAAACTAAAGAGAACACTTGCATGTATCTAATCTTCGATGTGACTCACCATCCACTATAGAATACTTAGGGAGGGGTATATGGATGAGTCCTCCATGCCATCCCTACTGCTGGAAGACACGTGCTGCCTAAGAAGTTAAGGAGCCCAGAAAACAAAATCACCCATAAAGTTCTCTGGGGATTCTAGGCAAATATTTATTGAATAAATTTATGAAGCAAATATATAACACAACATGTAATAACAAATGAAGGCCTTTATGGTAAATTAATATTCTGCAAAGCCCTGTGTACACTAAATATAAAAGAGCCAAAAATCAAGTGAGCCTGAGAGACCTATAATTCATTGTGTATATTTTAGGATGCTATATGCCTACTGAAACAGTGAACAGAATTACCTTAATTCATTTTTTGCGCATTAGGCTTTTAACTAAACCAGGTTCCAATCCCTGTGCAAAATGCATTCCAAAAGGCTAATCCTCAGTTATAATTATGTATAACTTGATTATAAATGGAAGCATTTGGCTATAATTTAATATGCATGCTTATTGCTATCAGAGAAATAAGCAAAGTTTTAAGTTTATTGTGCAAGAATTTTAATTAAATTCGCACACATCTCAAAAAATTCTATTGTGTGACTTCCAGGCCTTGGAGTTAAGTCAACAGGAGAAGAGTCCAGTGAGGTCACAGATGAGGTAAGAGAAGCTTCTGTACATTTCCCTTGAGCCTCCGCATCCGAATCACTCTTTTGGCAAGACCGATAGTTGCTAACGGATCCCGATCTCTGTGGCGTCGCAGTCCCTGATTTGGCTTCAGTAATTTCATCTGGGTAAAACACAATTCAACATTATAATTCATTACACACCGCAAATTTCAATAGTATTTCGTTTTCTTTTTTGAGTGCAATCATTGACCAGCTATCAAGAGCATGTCTATTTTGAATGCCTTCTCAAACAGAAGCAAAGCATCATTATTAAATTATTCACCTTTTTTACACATAGCATGCATTCTCCTGATAGCTCATCAAGATTCGGTACAAAATGAATGAATGAATGAATGAATGAATGAATGAATGAATGAATGAAATAAATGAAATGAAATGAAATGAAAGAGGAAAAAAAAAGATTGGGTAAAGTATGTAGCTACTCATCAATCTGCAATCCAAGATTAAAAGCCCAATAAACTAATAACTTGCGGCTTAATAAATATCAACCTTAGCTATAAAACTTAATTCCTCCATAATAAAATCATAGAATAAATGTACTTTTGGAAGACATCTCATCCAACTCTTTGTTTCATCAAGATGAAAACAAACCCCCAAAAGTTAACTGACTTGCCACTGGAAACCAACGAACAGGAAGTAAATCTAGAATCTAAGTCTGCTAACTCTCATCTCAGTGTTTCTCGCTCACCCATTTCCTCTTCATATTTGATCTAAGATCTCATAAAAGAGCAACAATGAACAAAAGCAGGAAAAAACTGAAGTTAGGAACACAATACAAAAGCAATAAGTAATCACTGCATTGGTAAACACAGGTGCAAAAGTTGAGAATTTCATCCAAAAACAATGAAAAAAGCAAAACCCATTCCGTATCTCTGTCTGACTTATTATGTGTTAACAGATAAGCACTCTTTAGACATAAAGATAAGCAGAAAAGTTTGGACAGCATATCACAGCTCAAACCTGTCTTTCTGACACTATGTAGATACTACCTTTGAGTGTTTAAAGACAAAGGAATTCAGAGGTGAATCGTCTCACCTATTTCATACAATCTTAGATGAAGAAAAACATCAACACATTGTAACTCAATTGATTTGTCTAATTAAGAATTGCCATAAACATTTACTTAATTGTAGGTTTTGTTTATTAGAGAATTTTTATATATACAGCTATACTCTTTTCTAATGATGTAGTAGAGAAAGAATATTTACCTGAATTATGAGTCAAATGTGTTCCAACAAGTTTTTTTTTTAATAGATAAGATAAATTGGTTTAAAAGCATATATACTTGGGAAATCTGAGTTAATGTAAATTTCAAACGTCAAGATTATTGTACATTTACTATGGTATTATAGTCTATTATAGATATACCTTAGCATTTAAGACATTTTTTCCCATTTAAAAATAAAACAAACAAACAGACAAAACAAGTATCTGCTTTCTGCAATTAATTTTCTTCAAGTTAACTAATCTAAATATTTGAGAAGGAGATATCCTGGCAAATCATACATAATAGTAATCAGAGATGTATTTTCTAAGTAGAGATTTTCATTTTCAAACTATTAAAACAGTAAAACAATACTCAATGTAATGTTTCTTTAATAAAATTCAAGAAGGTACTTTACGATCTTACAAAGCAACAGGGTCATTAATTTAATGACCAATTAAAAGACTTAATTTAAAAATCTAAATATTTCAGTGACTTGATCATCAGGTCATCTATGATTGTTTATAATAGTTGGTAACTAGAAATGTTCAACAGTCTAGGTATAAGGTTAATGTCACTGTTAGCTAACTATGATGGTTACCATGGACATAAAATGCTTTAGTTTCAGGAATCCTTTTACAGTGCATTTTACACAAAAGTGATCTATTATTTAAGCACACTTATTGAAAGGTAAATAGTACTGGAAACATGTAACTCTCACAAAAATGACAAAAGATGTGTAGCTCTGATTATGTCTGTAGTGTCAAGCTTGCAGGAAAAGGCTGGTTCCGAGGATAAAAATAACCAGAAATCCCTACAAAACATTTCTCCAGGGCCCCGCAAGAAACCTGACCCAGCAAATAGTTCCTTGTCCTCTGGAGCTACTCATCACATCTATTTACAGTGCCTTGTCACTCAACTCTAACAGCTACTCACTATTTCCTAATCCTCAAATGAAAAGTAAAGATTGTATTAAGTATCAGGTAAGAAATTACTCAATAAAAACTTACAGAAAAGTCAACAATTATCCTATATAATAAAAGTGTAATATGCAAATCATTACTACGATCAGCAGAATGACCCGTTGCTATGGCACACAGTGACCACCAGGGGGCAGACACTCAATTCAGGAGCTGCCCTATGGAAGTCAGTGTGCTCCCACAGGGGGAGCACCGCTCGGCCAGAAGCTGGGCTCATAGCTGGCAAGTGCAGTGGTGGTAAGGAGCAAGGAGTCCTGGGCTGCAAGAGCCCTGGACTGAAAGATAAATGTTCAACTGCTGGCTTAGGCCTGATTCCCCTGGAGGTACATCCAGCAGGTGGACATCCCCCGAGGGGTCCTGGACTGTGAGAGGATGCAGTCTGGACTGAAGGGCACCTCCCAGTGCATGAATCTCATGCACCGGGCCTCTAGTTTCTGAATAAAACATTTACCAGAATGAACCACTTTAAAAAACAGAAATGTGGCAGAAACTATTGCTTTAGGATCAGACTGCATCTGGCTTTAAGAATTCTACAACATAGCCCTAACCAGTTTAGCTCAGTGGATAGAATGTCAGCCTGTGGACTGAGGGGTCCCAGGTTCAATTCCAGTCAAGGGCATGTACCTTTGTTGCAGGCACATGCCCAGTAGGGGGTGTGCAGGAGGCAGCCGACAGGTGTTTCTCTCTCATTGATGTTTCTAACTTCCTTTTCCTCTCCCTCCCTCTCCATAAAATATCAATTATATATATATATATATATATATATATATATATATTTTTTTTTAAGTTTTACAACATAATCTTAAAAGGACAATATAGTCTAAGACTACAAGAATACCAAGATTTACAAATGTTGACATGACAAAAGCACAAAATCTTATATTACTTTATTTTTTTCTATTGAGTTACCAGGAACAGTTCCAGAAGCTTCAAAAGAATCAAAGACAAAAAAGCCACGTTAGGTAACAGGTCTAATATGTCATCTATAGTGTTTTAGGATGTACATACCATCAATACTTCGGAAATCCAATAAATACGTTCTGCTATCCACTTGGTATAACTGTAGACTCATTTTGGAGTAGGTACTTGTCACAGGGTTCTTCCTTCGAACGCGCAAATAATATGGATTCACAACCTAGCGGGCGGTGTGGACAAAAATAAAGTCACAAGCAATTCGTCTATGAAACACTACCGGTTTACCAAATGTGCCCGTAATCAGAATGGCCTTTCTTTCCTACCTTCCATTCATAATCCAGTTGTTTAATGGCTCTACAAACTTCTGCCATGATGTCACTGGGTCGACTTTGACTTCTAATTCCCAAGTGCCATTTTGCTTTCCTCACACCCTGGTGTTTGGATTTCTGTGGGTTTAATTCATCGAGGGTGTGGCGCGCCCTGGGAGTCTCAGCCACCAGGAAGGGCACTCTCTCAGGGTGGGGCCGAGACAAATGATGGTCATCGAGGAAAGAGTCCGGTGGGCTTGTCGCCAAGTAGAAGTCTTTGGCCTCGTTCATTATCCTCCTGTTATCGATGATGAGGTGGTAGGCGACCGCCAGCGGGTCCTGGTGGTTCCTGCTGTAGAGGCAGCTCAGCACCTCCTCCTCTGAGCACTCAAATTTCTCACACACTTCTTTCAGGGCTTCATCGTCTATCATGGTGGAACTGTAAGATGGGTCCTCAGGAAAGAGATACTTTGGAAGGTCCTGTTTAAACCATTCATGTTCCCTGAGAGAAAAAGGCAGGGCAGGAGAAGGGATTTTTAGTAGAGATGAGACCGAAAGTAACAGCTGGGAATTTAGGACATAAACTCATTTATATATATTATACTGTAGAATCATTTTGTTTTGTTTTTAATTGAAATTTTCCTCTTCTGGCTCACAGTTCATTGTATATATCAAGGGAAATGCCTTGTTATTAGCTCTAGTCTATAAATAAAAAGACAATTTATAGACTAGAGCTAATAACAAGGCATTTCAAGGGAAATGCTGTGGCTGCCCTCTGATTTTAAGAGGGAGAAAGCATTGCTGCAGTAAGATTTAAATTAGAAAAAAAATACATAAAATAAGAAAAAGCATCTCCAACTTAGTTTAAAACATAAACTTTAGAAAGTGATTTGTCTTTTTCACCAGCTGGTAGAATCAAAAAGTATGTAATGGATTATACCAAAATGTTCTCATTCCTTGAGATGAACAAAAGGAAAAAGTGTAATAATTCATGAGATCAGAACTCAAATAGCTACACATAAATGAACTACTAAAATGTATTAATCCTAATAAGAATACTTAAAAGTCAAATGAATACTTAAAAGTCAAATATAAAGCATACTGCAGAAAAATTTCAAAGAAGCACTACAAACAGGACCCTCTCAGGGTTCTTTGTTTTTCATTAGCTATTTCTTTAATTTAAAAAGTAATAAAATGTTCACTATTACAATGTCAAAACAAATAAAGATGCACAAGTAAAAAGTGAAAATCCTCCCTCCTTACCAATGTTACAGTGTAGTATTTTTAAATAACACAATAATGTGTCTCTATACACTATCTTTTAACATAAAAATAGTCCATACTGTCGTGCAACTTTTCCTTTCACTTAACTTGCATACTGACACTATTAGACCAGATAATCTGCACGCTGCTCTATTACCTGATATCTTTGATGGTGGCCCGCTTCATGGGATCCACCTGCAGCATGTGTTTCAATAGGCTAATCACTGAAGGGTTTAAATATTGAGGGGTATAAAAGATTCCATCGCATATCTTCTTAAAAAGGGTTGGCACGTGGTCATCATCAAATGGAAGGGTTCCGCATAACAAGGCATAGAGAATGACCCCACTGCTCCATATGTCTACCTCCGGACCCGCGTACAATCTGCAACAGGAAATACCCCCTGGGTGAGTAATCACTAGCAACTTAAGTCAGTCATTTAACCAAAAATGTTAACTATGGCCCGGCTGGCACGGCTCAGTGGTTAAGTGTCCACCTATGACCCGGGATATCACAGTTGGGGCACATGTCTGGGTTGTGGGCTCCATTCCCAGTGTGAGCGTGCAGGAGGCAGCCAATCAGTGATTCTCTCTAATCACTGTTGTTTCTCTCTCTCGCTCACCCTCTCCCTTCCTCTCTGAAATCAATAAAAACATGTATTTTTTTTAAAAATGCTAAGTATGGATAGTTCATAAATAATTATTATAATATTGTTTGTGAAATCAGTGCTGTATACTACATATTAAGATTTTGTACTAATTCTATCAGTACTTTCTTTGAAAACAAAAGTCAGGAATTGGTTTTTTAATTTATAGACTAGAGCTAAAATTCTGTTCTTACTACCTACTATAGCCTTCATGAGATTCAACCAATAGTCCCAAACCTTGAGCAAATACTATATCGTCAGTGAATTTAAAACCACTGTTGATTACAGAGGAGAGAGGAAAGGATTTTTCATCTTCTCCAGTGACGGACTCTACATCCAGTCTCCCCAGTAACCCAAAACCTCCTCAAGAAAAAGGGGCCTGAAACTGGAAGGAAGCCGTGCTAACTGGCTCCCAGATTCTATTGGCAGTGCAGTAGCCAGCTGGCCAGCCTAGCGAAAGACTAACAGGTACCCCTTGCAAAGTCTGGCTTCAGAGAAAGGATTTCTTTAAATTGGTCAAAGAAATTGTTGTCCTGATCTATAAACATTGTTTTTCTGTTTTTGTTTTTTAAATCTTTATTGTTGAAAGAATAACATATGTCCCCCCTCTTCCCCTCATTGACTTCTCCCAGCTGTCCCTACTCCCACCCCAGGCCTCTGCCACCCTATTGTCTGTGCCCATGGGTTATGCATATATGCATACAAGTTCTTTGGTTGATCTCTTCCCACTATAAACACTGTTTTGAAAGTAAAAGTTTCCACTCATCCAGACCTTACGGGAAGACCTTATGCAAACTAGGAAAATTAGACTTTAGTCATGGCCCATTACATAAATGCATAATTACAATACATTTATTTTTAGTTGTTTAATCCTGCCTCCAGTACCTAGATACTGAATTAGACAGCATAAATGAAATTTCTTAAAGAATTTTGGACACTAAGTTAATATAAAATGATAAAACTTGCTAAATCTAAAATTAGGATACTTCTGCCTTATTCATAGCCATGACTTTATAGAAATATAAGTTCTCTGCACAGGTTACATAAGCAAGCTGATGAAAATAGAAAGAAAGTTCTTTAATATTTATGCATTACAAATTAATCAGGATCTGAAACATTCAAACAAAGACAAGTAGTTTGAATAAAAGTTCTTAAAAGTTAACTAATAGCCCAGCCAACATGGCTCAGTGATTGAGTATTAACCTATGAATCAGGAGGTCACAGTTTGATTCCCGGTCAGGGCACAGGCCTGAGTTGCAGGCTCAGTCCCCAGTGTAGGGCATGCAGGAGGCAGCCAGTCAATGATTCTTTCTCATCATTGATGTTTCCATCTCTCTCACTTCCTCTCTGAAATCAATAAAAAAATATATATTTTTTAGTTAACTATAAACACTAGTAAACAAAGTCAACCTTCTGTTTTGAATTTCAGTGATACAGTGAAGAACAAATACTCTTTGAAAAAATTAAACTTCCCTTTCATCTAAGCTATTCAAAAGATGCACCTTACAAAGATTCTCATTGTTTCAAACATGAATTTAATAATTTAAGAGGTTAGCATTCTTACATATTGGTCTCTAAAAAATTTTTTTTAATGAAAATTCAAAATAAATGAAGTCTGAAGATTTTATTAATACTTGAGTCCAATTCTCTAATATATTTTATCATAAAACCTTAAGATACTACAAAATACTATCTATTTGAAAAACTAAAGCTACACATTCCATTTTAATTCTTCATCTAAATCAGGGGTGGGAAACATTGGCCCACAGACCTTACAAGGCCCATGAGATCATTTGGGCTGGCCCTGCCAGGGTCACAAAAATAACAGACTTGAAGTTCAATAAATCTAGGAGCTTTATTCATAGCAACATAAATTTCTGTTAAGTGAATTATAACTATCCAAATGACCATTGGCAGAAAAACAGTTCCCCACCCCTGATTTCAGTCAACAGGAAGCCACTTCTAACTACTAGGTATTTCCATATTGACCAAGTTTTTAAGTTCTTACCTACCTTTAAAACTCACTAGTTTTAAACCTCCAATTTCTTCCACCAGGGAGTAAAAACGTTAAGTACTCTCATCTAATTACTTTAATGCAAAATTGACTTTGCATATCAACATTCTCCTCTATAAATGGAGGCCTTGATGACAATGTTTTATTCTTAAATCAGAACACTCTGGATGAGAAAAGAATAAGCCTTAAGTTCCAATCCTTTCGCTAAATTAAACACTACAGGCACTACAGACTAACAAAACCTAGGAGAAAAAGATAATTACAGATGAACTGAGGGCAGGGAGCGACAATACTACCTTCCTGAAATTACTTCTGGTGCAGCATAGTTGGGTGAGCCACAACTTGTTCTTAAGAATTCACCATCTGACATCATGTTTGAAAGACCTGAAAATGCACAAAATCCACTACTCAAGATTTCCCAAGGATAAAAATAGAAGCAAAACTCCATTAAGCAATACTATTGAGTTTGCATTAAAGTAATACATCATTTCATTCTTTACTCCAACAAAATCCTATAGTCTTTACTATTCCCAAATACTTTGCCACTATGCCCTAAAATTTGTTATCTATTTCAACATTTAAAGTTAGTGCATTTTTTCAATTTAATGAGCATATATTAAGCTATTAGTCACTGTACTTACTAAAATAAACTTGGCATGTTTAAATTTTATTAGTACAGAAATTACTAGAAAAAAATATATAAAGAATTAAATTTGAAAGTTTCTCTTACTCCCTGTTCTGATTCTTTAATAAAATATAATAATTTTGAAAATCAAAGTTCCCTCATAGTTTTACTACAAAAAGACCCTATATCTTCTCAAAAATGTATTCAATTCCTTTTTCTGTTAGATTTAACAATGGCAATGGCAATTTCTATAGGAAATAAAAGGAACTGCAACTCATTTTTTATAATTTGTAAATTTGTAATTTCAGACTGAAATTACATTTTTCTCAAGTTGAAATGGTTTTTCTAACATTTAAAACACCTTACCTTTCCCAAATTAATTTTGTTCATATAGTTCATCTTCTGGCTTCCAAAGTTTGACTATCCCAGTCTCCTACTTCTTGCTCCATAATTGCTCAAAAGAATACACTGGAACTAGGTCACTAACTTCTCCTTCACACATAATGGGCTCCTTCAAACCTCCTTCAAACGATCTCTCTACTACCGTGCTTACCTACTGTCACAAAACTCCATTTTAAAGACATGAAACTAAGAAGAGAATTCCTAGCTCTCTCCTCTTTTTTGCATGCTCATGAGCGAAATGGTGAAGATATACCCCTTTGCAATACTCAGTCTGTGACATAGAAGTAAGAGTTATCTGACGAGTGCTGCCCACATTCTCTGAACGCGATGCACAGGCGAGACTGTGAGCATCTCCTTACCAAAGTCAGCGATCTTGGCATTCATGTGTGCATCCAGCAGCACGTTTTCCGGTTTCAGGTCTCTGTGGACCACCATGTGCCGGTGGCAATAGTCCACGCCAGAAAGGATTTGTTGGAACAGCCGCCGGCTTTCTTTTTCATCCAGCTAAGGAAAGCAGAGAGGCATCTTAACGGTGTGTCTTTCTACAGAAATTAATTCTCCAATCTATAAGACTGTGTGAATGCACGGCCCTCCCTTATAAGATACTTTGGGAATGCAGAGGACAGCTGTGCGGCACACACAACACTGCTAGGAGGACCCGGAACCCAAATCAGTGACTCAGCTTCTCAGGGGACCACTTTCATGACTCCACTGTCACAGCTTGCTTTCCTTTATATCTCATGAGCTATTTCAGACAGTTCCAATTTCTGCTAAAACTAGACATGGTTTCTCCTATAAATTCAAAATGTGTCATCTTTCATTCCTAACAAATATTTATTGAAAACCTCATGTACAGTTTACTGCTATGTAGCAACAAAGGGACTAATACAGTTGAGAAAATAGACAATAAAATAAACGAGTGATGGTGCTTTGAAGAAAAACAAAGCAGAATAAGGACACAGTTATGCTGTGGCGGGGATAGTACGTTAGTCTATATGAGGGAGTAACATTTAAAGCATTGTTAATGAATTACCAAGCAATCATCTCACTTTACGTCCTGAAATAAAAGACGTTTTCGTTTTAACAAAAGAAAAACCTTAATTCCATTTATTCTATAAAATATAAAAGCATTTATCTTTAATTGACTTACTGAAAAGATTACCTTTTGCTGCAACTACATGTTTTTAAATATTCTTTTACCAGTAAAAATTCTCTTCCTTTTATCCATATTTTCTCACTTTTTTCCCCTTAATTATTACTTTGGCATGTTTGCACTCAAGAAGGGGTATTTAACTAATAAGCTATTAATACTTAAGGTGAAGAACTCTAATATGCAATTCTCTAAAACTGGGCACAAATTAGCATTCTAAAATGAGATTTTTATACCTTAAATGGCATAAATAATCTGGGAGAAAAGATGAAATAATAATATTTTGAAAGCAAAATTAAAACTATCAAGTATGCCTGGACTGTGTGGCTCAGTCCTTGATTGCTGACCTATGAACCAGGAGTCCGGGATCTGATTCCTGGTCAGGAGACATGCCCAGTTTTTGGCTCAATCCCCAGTGTGGGGTGTACAGGAGACAGCTAGTCAACATTTCTCTCTCATCCATGTTTCCATCTCTCTATCCGTCTCCATTCCTCTCTCTAAAGTCAATAAAATATATATATTTTTAACAAGTTATCGAAGTTCTGTGATACCCTTCCTCTAAAAATAATGCTAATGAATTGGCAATCTAACACCTTTATTTCTAGAAGAAATGTAGTTTCCCCTTTTTAAACAATCATATCAAATATACTAAATGAAAAAAGAATGTGTTCTAAATGTGAAAGAGAAGAAAATTTAATTAATTAAAATATAAGACAGGCTACAACTAACCAGATAGGCTACAAAAGATGAAGATTATACTATATTAATAATAAATACAGTACAAAGGATGAAGGAGGGGAGATTTTCAAAGGAAGATTTAGAAAACTCAAAACGTATTTCCAGTCAAACATGGCAGACTGAACCTTTGGCCTCCACTCCTTGAGATACTACTGAAAGGACAAAAAGAACCAGAGAAGAGACGGCAGGAATTAAGAGGCGCCACCATGCTGGAGAGTGGATGGAAGCGAGAAAGACTTCACCAGCCAGAGGATGCCGAGACCCACGCCCATAGGAACGGAAGCCAGCAACAACCCGCCTGTACAGAGAGCCCGAAAAGGCTCAGAAATGGGGAGTCCCAGGAATTTTTGAAGGTAGAAGTGGGAGGTGGACTAAAAACAGAACAACTGGTTGGAGAAACAAGTTCTAAACTCCTCTGCTAGGGAGTAAGACCCATGATTGCTTCTCACTAAGGCTGACCTCAAGGACACCCAGGCAGGGCTGAAGCCCCAGAAGGAAAACATGGGGATTGCGTGAAAGTGTCACCTGCAGCCTCTTCCCTTCAGCTTCCTGGCTGCTGGAAGCTTGCTGGCAGCGGAGCTGATGCCCAGGGAAACTGGAAGGTTCCTTCTGGAGCAACCATCTGATCCAAAGAAGCTGTTTGTGGTTACTGACCTTTGGTGGACCCCAATACAATGGTAAGTCCCTACCTAACCAACCTATGTAGAGGCCCACCCCATGAGCTCGGCCTTCCGAACCTCACTCTCAATAAGTGGACAGCCAGTAAGGAAGGGCCAATGCACAAGAGACAAGGAAAGACCAATAAAGTGAATTTTAAAAGGCCAGGGAGCAGGGAACTGGAGCACAACTGTCCAGAAACAATGCAGGGATCCCAAGAAAAAAAATTTAACTACTTGTCATCTTCAGGTAAGTATTACATCTATGGAGAAAAAACAGGCTATTTATAGAAAAGAAAATTCCAGAAAACAAGGAAGACCCGTGAAATAGAAACTATGTCAACTGAGATGTTAATCTGCAACAGATAAACACAGAAGAAAACTCCCATAATGTTAAGCAGACTGACACAAAGAAATGCAAAAGCAAACAAGATGCCAATCCAACTTCCATATGTCCCGGCAGGAAAGGCGGGTGCGGGGAGATACAGTGAAGAGAGAAGTGGAATGCCTCAAATTTACATGAGCCATGTTAAGAAACGGCAAATGAAAATTAACTTGGTTAATGAGTTGAGTGTGATGAAAATAAACATATGCTATATACTAGCAGAACAAGTGGATGACACAAAGAACTTCAGATTGGGAGGGGGGATGGATTCTCGGTGCTAGCTATGGTTCCTATAGTAGAGACTTCACATGCCAATAACCTGGGTGTGAGAAAAAGTGTGGGCAGGGATCTGAGTTCAGTTTTTGTATCTGTAACTTAAGATACTATTCACAATGTCTTCTAAAGTTCCTTCCAACTCTAAATTCTCTAAGTCTACCTAAGCCCTTCATGCAGCCTGTGCTTTTCAGGTAAATCAGATTTCGGAAACAGAAAAGTGAATGCAATTTAAATATATCTAGGGTTCGCTAGCAAGGCCTAGATCTGTAAATATTTAATAATGTATTTTATAAGGATTAAATAAATACTTTATGATATATGTTAAAAGCATCTGTATGCCCCCAAAACAGTGTCTGAGAATCATGAGTTCTGTGGTCTCGTTCCAGTTCTGTCATTAATAAGTCATGTGATCTTGAGCAAATACATAAACTGAGTCTCAGTTCCCACATCTGTGTAAGCAGGCTGAGAAAACCACCCTTAAGGTCCTTACTAGCTCTAAGCACCGTCTGATTCTGGACAAATGACTATGGGAAATGGGTGTTAAACAGGCCTCTTAACAAAATCGCTTCCCAACACAGGGTCCTGAAGCTGGTAAGGGGTGAGGAGAGTTACAGACAGGGACAGGATTAAATTGGAACTGCTTACCCTTCCATTTTTACAGATATAATCAAATAGCTCTCCTCCCGAGACATACTCCATCACCATGAAAATATCAGATGGTGTACTGATGACCTGGTACCTGGTGAGAGAAAACAGTATCTACCAGCATTAAAACATGTATATGCATGCATTCAATCAATACTTAGTAAGCACCTCCAATAGCCCAGGTACCCTGCTGGGAGCTGAGAAAACTGCGGGAAACGAAACTTTCCTGCCCTCCCGGGGTTCCTGTCCTACGAGCCGGGCGACAAACAGATCTAAATGAGCATGATCTCAGGTGGCACCGGCTCTGGAGAGAAATGAAGCGAACTGCGGGACCCTCTCTATGGAGGGTCACGGAAGGCCTCGCTGAGAAAGCAGTGTTTGAGCAGAGCCTGATGGAAGTGAGGGATGAAGGGTGCCACCGTCTCGGAAGGAGGGGAACCAGGTAGAGGGAGCAGCCAGTGCAAAGGCCCCCCGGGGGGAAGTCTGCCTGGCAAGCTCGAGGCTGGCGAGAAGGCTCGCAGAGTGAGCTGGGAGAGAGAGACGGGATGGGGTCACGGGGGTGAGCGGAAGCCCGAGGACACAGAGCCTTACAGGCCAGGATGGAGCTCTGGCTTTTACCCTAAGACGAAGGTTTCAAGCAGAGTGGTCGTGTGATCTGGCCTAGTCACAGGTGACCTGTGCAGCCGCGTGAAGAAGGAGCGCAGTAAAGATGGATGCAGGAGCTGCTGCAACAGACCAGGAGCGGGATGAGATGGAGGGGCTCCGCCCAGGCCGATGGCGATGAAGGAGCTGAGAAGGAAGCGATGGAATGGATGGGAGGAAGTGAAGGATGCCTCCAAAGCCCCTGCCGGGAGGACCGAGATGGTGGCTGTGGGAAGAGCACGTCTGGGAGAGTGACAGCGAGCTCGCGGGGAGTGATGTCACGTGCTTCTCGGACACCCACATGGCGATGGGGAGCAGCGGGCCTGAGGCTGGGAGAGGCCGCAGAGCGGGAGGTGATGTGGTCAGAGCGGGAGGTGATGTGGAGGTCAGAGCGGGAGGTGATGAGTATGGACAGTACTGAACACTGGGGCACCTCATCAAATGAGAAGCGGTGAGAGGGAAGCCAATTTGGAGTCAGCTAGTTCAGCACAAAAGTCTACGCAGCTTTAACGTACAGCCTGTAGAATAAAGCTGTAAATAAATGACCGAAAACCCCAATAACTGGCAACTGTAAAATGGCGGTCACGTTACTGCCTTTTCGCAACAGTGGGTTCCTGATACTCCATTATCTGTCCTTGGTTTTATCAGGCGGAGGCAGCATGGGGGAAACCCTATTTGCTGCATGTCTCTGGTGAGGTGACACGTGGAGATGTGGGGGCTAAGAGTTTGGACTAGCAAATTATTTCACTGCTGGTCCTGCAGCAAATAGGGCCTTGAACATCCTATCCGAAGGGCACTGATCAGAAGACAAGAAAGAATGAGAAAGGTAACTGCTGATAAGCACAAGGGGAATACAGGACACAGGTCTAAGTGACCTTGAAGGAGGCTAGATTAATGCCAGTACATGAACAGGAAGACGTTTCAAACCCCTCAAGAACAGACCAAAGAAATGTCAGTCATCTTTCTCGCTCAGTGTGTTAATTAGGTTAGCAACAATGATGAAAAAGTGACAGGAATATACTAGGAATATAAGCAGATCTTACAGTTTAATAATATGAGGATGCCGAAAAAGCTTGAGGTTCTGAATTTCTCTGCGGATTTTTCCTACCACATCGAGGCTTCGAATCTTCTGTCGGTTGAGTATCTTCACTGCGACTTTATGCCCAGTCAGTTCGTGCTTGCCAACTGCGGGAGGAACCATGGTACCTGGTTAGCGCCCGGCCTGACCAATGACACTCACACACATTCTAAGAGCACTGATCTTAGCAGACTCAGAAAATACGTGAGCAAGTTTAACTTCCTTCCATTCTGCCCGATTTGCTGTGAATGTCTGTGTGGGTGACTAAGTGGGAGAAAACATATGTGAATGACAACAGCAGTTCCTTCTAAGAAGGAAGGCTGGGAGGTGAGGGAAAGAGAAAGAAAAGAGACTTCCTTTCTGCACTTTTACATTCTCTTCATTTGTTTTTCACTTCATTAAACTATCAGACATTCAAATTGAACGTTTTTCTTTGGGTGTACCATTCTACAGGTTTTACCATGGGTAGAAACTGGTGTAGCCACCATCACAATCAGACACAGAACAGTTCACCATCCCAAAAAACTCCCCATGCTACAAACAAACTCCCCCTGTCGGTAACCCCCGGGGTCATTCAAAGTTTGGTTCCTGAGCATGCCGTATCTATTTCTAAAAATAAGGAAAAAGTTAAGTGATTATTTTGTAATTTTGAATGCAGTGCCCTGATATTCAATGGTGACAGAACTTAGACATTTTCGCAGAGGCAAAATCACCAAAAAGTCCACCCTTTCTCAAGAATCTAATGGAGAATATATAGTCCATCAAAATCAGCAGGGAAACCAACAAGATGGTATCCAATGTAGGAGAAATCTAAGGGTAACCCCGATAGAGTAATGACGCAGCCCTGGGTAACAGATCTGAAAGGCCCAGAGGAAACAAATCCAGACGGAGATGCTGCAGGGACCCAAGATGGTTATTTCTGTGGGGAGGAAAGAGAGAAAATTGTCTTCCGGGTTTAAAAGTATAGAATGTTGTACTGACGGATTTTACAGACATTTGAAGATGTGGGGGATTTAAACTTAGGTCCAAAGAGAACAAAGCAAATGGGGGGGGGGGGGGAATGAGTTAAAAACTCAAGGGAAATTAAAAGTAAGACAATACTGTCATAGTCCTGACTTACTAAAGAGTTTTTATGTACTCATAATTATGGAAACACCAAATACGGATTTTTAAAGATTATATAATTTTATTAGGAGAATGAAGGTATAGAGGAAAAGGTACAAGAGAACTCACACCCTCATCTACCATAATAGTCAACCAAAACAGCCTGTCCATAGAAAGTAAGAGAGTACTTATATGCATGCATATATCCACTGGATATATGCATGCATATAAGTACGTTTTTTTTTCAAATGGAGATTTGAAAAAAAAATAAAAATTAAGTACAAAAAGAAACAGATAGGAGTCCGAAGTGGAGATAGGGAATTCTATTTTATAAATACACCTCCAACCTCTATTGGACCTTTTAAAATATACATGTATTACTTTACCAAAAAAGATAAATAAATAAAGGTTAAATGAGGAATTTAGGGTTTTAGCTTTACAGGAGAAAAGGCTCTCCACTCAACTAGAAGAGTTAGACACCATCAGAGAGCTGTCCCTGAGGATCATGATCATCATCAGCTGAAAATCAAGGCTCGTGGTAACAGGAAATCCCTTTAAGTCATTTGTATTTGCTATGGTCTGGCTTATGTCTCCCCTAATTTTACATATGGAAGCCCTAAGGCCCAGGAAGACAGTCCTTGGAAACAGGGCCTCAGAGAGGTGGCGGCGTTGAAACAGACAACTCAGGTTGGCCCTCATCCCACCTGACCGCCCGGGCCCCTGTGAGCAGGGACTTGGACACAGACCCCAGGGCACACACAGGAAACCCTGTGAGCACAGGGGAGAAGGCAGCCCTCTGGGGGAGAGGCCTCAGAAGACACCAGACCTGCGGAAACCATGGCCGCTGTATCTCGTTATGACAGCCCTAGCAGATTAATACCATGGGATCTGGGATAAAGCTGAGCCTCACTATCCTTTAAAAAACCCCAAGAGCCCACCTATGGACCAGGAGGCCATGGTTCAATTCCCAGTCAGGGCACAGGCTGGGTTTCAGGCTCCATCCCCAGTAGGGGGCGTGCAGGAGGCAGCCGATCAATGACTCTTTCATTATTGATGTTCTCTCTTTCCCCGTCTCCCTTCCCCTCTGAAATCAGCTGTATACACATGTATAGAAGGTAGAGGGAGCCTGCTGGTGGGCTCAGCTGGTTGGAACGTCCTCTCGTCCTACACACCCAAAGGTTTCGGGTTTGATCCCTGATGGGCTCTTATGAGAAGGCAATCGTCAATGTTTCTCTCTCCCATCAATGTCTGTCTCTCTCTCCCTCTCTCTCTCTCTCTCTCTCTCTCTCTCTCTCTCTTTTTTGCTCCTTTCCTCTCTCTAAAATCAATGAAATATATCCTCGGGTGAGGATTAAAAAACAAGCCCACGAGGGCGAACCTCACAGATCACAGCCTCCTTCCCCACCAGGCTAACCCAGACAGTGAGTTCGGGCTCCCCGCCCCCAGAGGCCAGCAATCCGGAGGCCAGAACAATGGGACAGGCAGTCCTCCGTGTTCTGAAATGTTAAAGCGTTTGCTTAACCATCTTAATGAGTAATATGAAAGCCAAGGTCAGGTGATACAGATATTTCACAGGGAGGAAAACGCCCACCCAAGTTCACTTCCCTGTGCCCTGCCCTGTAACCTTCACAAACCCCACAGTGAATCCCTCCCGCCATGAGCCGCTGTGGACAGAGTACAGCCACCGTCACCAGAGGATGAGCACAGGACCAGGAGGCAAAGTGCCATTTTAGAATGACCACAATGCAAAGGAATCTCTAAATTTAACCGCCTTTATATAGCCCAGCTAATCCCCAACCACCCTGGCTGAGGAGTGACAGCAGCTCCGGGAAGAGGGCCCCGGACATGCTTCCACCGAAACCTCAGGAAAACAGGCCTGAGGTGCGGGAGGAAGAGGCCGACAGGCACGGCTGACATGAGCTCTGGCTCTCAGCAGGTTTTCTTTTGTTCACCAGTACCCGAGTCTCATGTCTCAGCAAAAACTCCCCAAACCCCGCACCCTGGCTGCCCAGGAAGCTGGCCCAGTGACCACAGCTGACACAGATGGACACAGCACAGCACTGGGAATACCGGCGGCGGAGAGCTGGAAAGGATGTTAAACAGAATCCGCCCAAGTCTGACCTTATCACAAGTCAACCAGTCTCTTCTCCCACCACCCCTGCTCAATGTAGTTTCAACCCCGAGTCATTTTAAGAAAGCAACTGGGTTCATCCAAAAGCCCACACTTAATCTTCGGTCATTAAACAAGGCGCTGCAAGAGGAGATCAGAAGCGTTCTCAAACTCATTCTGTTATCGGCACGCACTACGCGTCCACGCATGCCAGCCGATGCCGCCGGGCAAAGTCCTGACCCACAGCGACCTGGCTCCGGGGACCGCCCTGGCCTCTGGAGACAGCCAAAGTAACGACAGGGTAAAGAAATAAATAGAATAAAGCAATCACAGCGCAAACAATAAAAGGGGGCGGTGCACATGAAGATCACCCAAGAAATTGACAAATATTAACCATTTCAGAGAGATAGTTAAGAGAATGCAGAAGTTACGAAATAAGAGCAGAGCAAGACGACTCTTTCAACAGAAGTATCCATTGTGAAAGCATGTATGCTGTAGCAGAAATGTGACGGAAACATTTATGTAGCACACGCCAGGAAATAAGAAAGAAATTAGCAATAATGAGAGGGATGGGACTAGGGAACCAAGTAAAATTCAACTCATGAGTGATTGGGGAGTAGCGTATCATTGCACCTGTTAATTTCATTGGAAGCAAATCTCGGTGAAAAGCGTTTTAAATTAAGAGGGTTGCAGAAACCGGTTTGGCTCAATGGATAGAGCGTTGGCTTGGGGACTGAAAGGTCCCGGGTTCGATTCTGGGCAAGGGCATGTACCTTGGTTGCGGGAATATCCCCAGTAGGGGGTGTGCAAGAGGCAGCTGATCGATGACTCTCTCTCATCGATGTTTCTAACTCTCTATCTCTCTCCCTTCTTCTCTGTACAAAATCAATAAAGTATATTTAAAAAATAAATAAATAAAATAAAATAAAAATAAAATTAAGAGGGTTTGCTGCATGCACTACACCAAGGCCCCGGCACTCCCTGAGAACGACAGGAAGCCTGGCTCCGGCACAGAAGAGCCCAGAGGCAAACAACCAGGTTCCTCTGGCTGCAGCTCAAATCCGATTCTATTTTTAAAAATATAAATCCAGTTAATATGTAAAGCAATTTCGGCAGACAATTTACTAGCTCATATTCATGATGTCCCCACTCTGTGCCCGGACATACTGACTCACCAAAAAGCTGGAAGGAAATGACACAGCTAGTGGCTTGCAAAGTCAAAACATGACCCCAGGTGTGTCTCAAAATGCTGTGCTTTTTGCAAAAATGATACATCAAAAGTGATAGATTTAAAAAATAATAATCCTCAAATGGACATTACTTGGCATAATAATACAAATATAAATATCCTTTTTATAAAACACAAATAGAAGAAATTAAGATATCAGAGGGATCCTTATAGTCTAATAGTTTTAAAAAGAATAGACTGAGTAATAATTATCCTAAACATCCATTTGTTCATTTAAGAAACAGTTCATGAATGCCTACAACTACTACATGCTAGCCACTGCTACTGTGACAGTTTCCCGGATGAGAAAGTGAACTCAATCTAACAAAAACCTGCCCTACGTCAATGTCAATGTTTTAAGACAAGAAGCCAAGAAGATACTTCATTTGTTCTGTCACACCAATTTAAAAGTCATTTAAAAAAATTAGGGCATTATTAAGGACAAAAGAAGAGCATAAAACTATAGGCACAAAGAGTAAGTATAATGGCAGGTGTAGGGGATTACATAGTATTCCTCCTCCCCAAATTCAAGTCCACGGGGAACCTCAGAAAGTAATCTTCCTGGGAAACAGAGTCTTTGCAGATGTAATTAGTGCACTCTAGATCTAGTGTCCGGTGTCCTTATAAGAGAAGGAGGGACCCAGAAAGAAACCACACACCGACACACACGTACAGGCGGTGGCCACGTGAGGACCAAGGCAGCGACTGTGGTCTTGCTGCCGAGGAAGACCAGCAGCCACCAGAGCTGGAGGAGGCAAGGGACAGGACCCCCTCTCCCCCCACCTACCCACCCCTGCTTTGAAAAGGGCTGTGGCCGACCTCCGCTTGCTCCTGGGCTCCTGGCCTCCGGAATGTGAGGAATACCTGGCTTATACCTTTGTTGTCTTAAGCTGCAGGGTTTGTGGCACTTTGTCACTACAGCCCTAGGAAACTGGTACAGTAAGTTTATCAGTTTATCAGTCAATTTTTGAAAATGATATTCACCAATATCATGAACAAGCTAGCAGAAGTCATCTCTTTGAAAACAGGCTTTCTGAACCACTGCACATGCTTATGTTCTCTTAAATGGAGCGCATGTACATGATTAGGAACCAGAGAGACGGTCAGCATGTGAGCACATCAGCCACTCCCTGTGCCCTCACAGGGACATGCGTAGGAGTTACTTGGCCAGAGAGGACTTTTTCCCCCCATCACCTTTTATCCCCTCTTTGCCCTGTACCACCTCCCCCCCTTCTCCCCCTGCACTCACCACCCTGTTGTCCATGTCCATAAGCTCTCTCTCCATTTTTCTCAGTCCCTCCATAGCCCTCAACACCCCCCAACCAGAGCTGTCTGCCTGCTCTCTATCTACAAGTCTGTCTCTATTTGGCTTGGTAGTTCAGTTTGTTCATTAGATTCCACATCTGAGTGAGGTCATATGGTGTTGTCTTCCTCTGACTGGCTTGTTTCACTTAGCACAATGTGCTCCAGTCCCTCCGTGCTGTCTAAAGCACAGGCCTTCTTACTCCTAGACTATATGTCCCAGCTCCTGAGGCTCTCTGCTTTTTAAAGACCTGTCTCATCCTTCACGGACTATCAAGAGCCTGCTCTCACAGCCCCCTTCC